GCGCCGGCATTCTGTGAATTTGCACGTGACCGGCTGCAGCAGAAATGTTGTGATATAAGTGCAGGAAGTTGGCACGATATGCTGCTGCGGCTGAACTTTCCGCGAATGAACAGTACCTGTGCATTTCAGGAAGTCTGAAGGTTGAACTATTTGCGCTAAGACAGGTTCTGTGTTATGGTTATGCAAGGAACGGAAGTGAAAAATGTTTCGCAGTGAAATATTTAGGGGCGCTGGTGGCATAGGATGTAACGTCTACGGCGATACGGTTACATAAAACATCCACATCGTTCTGAGACGTTCTCGGCCGTTCTTTCTGATTCATTTGAGGTGCGTCATTTATGAATCTCCTCGCTGATTCACTGTCTCCACGTCGAGTTACAGTTGACTCGTGTTCCGGGGTGCATCATTCCCGCCGGCTATTCAGTCGGTGCATCATCAGCGGTTGGAGGAGCTCCGTCTTCGCTGATTGCCCCTCCCCTTCCCTTCCATCCCCTCCTTTCATCCCCTCCCATATAGACCCTCGCCCGCCGTTCCGGACCCAGGGGGTGTCTAAAGCCGAGTTACACCACACTGAATTTCAACATAAACTCACTTCCGGGGTCACATTAGCACTTACCAAGAGAACGGGTATAACACTAACACCGGTAGTGATGCGCTCACTAAATGCTGCTGCCATGCTCCAGCGTCACACGTCGCTGATCGGGCCGAACTGTCGGCGGCCGCTGGAGGGCGGTGCCCGGGCGGACGGCGGTACGCGGAGCCGGGCCGATAACCTTGACTCGTCTGCCTGCCGACTGGCCCGCTGGCGGCCCGCCACGGCCCGCCACGGCACGGAACGCCACGGCACGGCGCTACGGCCGGGCAGCGCCGTGGCGCGGGAGGTGGCGGGACGTAGTGGTGGGATGGGCGGATAGGCTAGAGGAGTGGGGAGGGTGGGGAGGGCTGGTGCTTCAGGTGGCCTCGTTTGATGAGACTGGCTAATGCGCCTGAGAAGTAACGAAAAACGTTATCGGAGGCCACGTCGAAACGTTTCAGCTGACGCAGCCCGGGCCGTCGATGTGGCGTTCGCTCGGGTTACTGTGTTGGCAGCCTTCCTCGGGTATTGATCATTTTCTGGCTGGCCCGTTGTCTTCGGACTAGTGGCACGGGTCGGGCCTGGCTCATCGTTCTGACCTTCCAATGACGTCACTCTGACGTCAGCGCCGACGGCGGCCAGCTGCGCGCCGCCCGTTCGGCCGTGTTTTCCCGCGTCGGCAGCCGACTTCGTCGTATACCCGGGGCCGGCTTCCCATGAGCTCATCGCCGACCTTCTGTGGGCTGTTTGCAGCAGCTGGAACTAACACCGTGCACAGCGCTCGCGGCACGGGCGACTCCGGTGTAGGAGAGCTCCGGCGGCCTCTGTGACCCGACCCCGCTCCTTCCCTCCCTCTCCCCTCCCGTCTGGCCGCCGACCGCTCCGTTTCGGGTCGCACCTGGGATCGGTCCAAGGTCGTCCCCGGCGTCACCGCTCCGAGCGACATCGGACCTCGGACCGGCTGACGACCACCGTCTGACACTCGCCGCCGCGTCGCCGACGCTGTTCGGCGCCGTTCGTCGACTCCGTCGGTCGTCGCCGCGTCGGACGACGACTCGTGGCCGGCGGCACGCGGCAAGCGTCGAACAAAGAACTCCTGCAGGGTCTGGGGAGCTCGTGCAGAGCTGTTTCCGTCTCAACGACACGTGGTGCTCTGATGGAGATATTGCGTTCGCGTCCCAATCTCGAAAGGCTGTAGGGTGGGTGAATAATGCGGTTATTTTCGCACGTCTCTGTAAGGGTGGCGTGTCGTGTGGGGTGGGGTGGGGGTGGTAATGGAAAGGGTAGCGGTGCCTGGTGAATGTATGGACTTATGGTGAAAGGTGGGACTTCAGGATGGCTGCATCTGGATAATGTGTGGTCATGGGCCAAACATTTTCCGTGTCGCACTTCGGCAGTCGCTTTCTTACTAGAACGGCTTCCCCCACCGCCTTCGAGGGTGACAATACATTTGTAATTCTGTCGCGCATTCCTCTATGTCAATTGAACTGACCAACGGACTGAATCTTCAGACCGCTTGACCTGACCCGGCCCCGGCCTGACCCCGACCTGACCCGTCTCTGACCCCGTCTCTGGTGTGCGTGAGAGTCCGCCCGGCACCCAGCGCTGGCCGGCCGGCCTCCGGCGCCAGCGGGGAATCGGGAGCAAGGGCGTCGCTCAGAGAAAGTGCGCCCGCGCGCCGCAGCGCCCCGCGCCGCCGTGTCGCGCCGGGTGAATCGTTAGGGGTGGAAACTGGCTCCCCATGGACTGGTGCGACCCGAGAGGCTCTAAACTTAGTGCCGTGTGCACTCTGAGACTGAGAATGATATACAAAGAAACTCTGCACTGGCCAGCGATGTTGAGCGGACAAGCTTAACAGTCACTGTAGCTGGTGCCCATCCCAATAGAGCACGGTCAGGCACAACTTTATCCACACCAAACCCTACCTATCCGCGCGCCCCGGTGCGCTCCAGCGAGGGCCGTGAAGGCTGCTCGGACGACCGGTCTCTCCAAAGGCCTGCACAGGAGGCTGCGCGGCCCCGCAGTGACGGGCGCCAGCGCCGCTCACAGGCCTTGGCAGCGCGGTCGGCGTCATTTCCGGCCTCACCAAGCCGAGGTCGGTAAACGCACGGCGTCAGGACGCTCTCCTCTCTGCGCCGAGCTGGAGCTGACCTTGTCCCGACCCCGTTCCTCGAATGGTGTCCCCAGTGCCGGGGGTTATGCCGTCCCGCTCCGAACCACTCGCTTCTCCGTTCATTATACAACGTCTCACTCTCATCTCACTTGTTCCATTCCGCCTTGTCTCTTCTTGTTCCGTCTCGGTCTTGTCCTGTCTATTTTCCTGCGGTAGCCGCCGGTACTGACTCGCGACTACCGGTATCGGCGTTACATCAGATCATTACGCATGCAGCTGCTCAGGACCGTCCCGCTGCAATGAGTGGCCCTCCGCCCCGAGTCACTGCAGCGGGATTAAGGCTAAGCCGCGCGCACTATAACGGGCAAGTGTGTGCAGTGCTGCGATGGTGAGCGGTCCGCAGGGGCTGTTCGCCGCGTCAGCCTGCCGAGCTGACCTGGGTCGAGCGGTGTTGATAAGCCAGCCGGGGTCGAGATGAGTAGGACGCCACTGGCCTGATTTTAGTCGCGGGTCAGCCGAGTCGGTCAGCTGGAGAGGAGAAAAAGAGAGGGAGAGCGAGAGAGGGAGTGAGAGCGAAGGGGTGAGGGGTCTCTCTCTGCCACAGCGAGGCAGAGAGAGAAGAGAGAAGCCCTCCGTGCCATTTGGCGCCGGCTTTCACGCGCGACAAACGGCTTCTTGCAGCGTGAGAAAGTGTGTGGGTCGGAGAGAGGCGGGCGGCGCGCCGCTGTCGCTCGCGCGGCACCCTGTCCGCCCCGACCCGCCCAGCCCAGCCCGGCTGGCGGCCCGGCCCTGCAGCCGCCTTTCTCTGGCGCACGGACCGTCACCGTCGCCGTACCGTCACCACCGCCGCGCCGAGCCGGTTGCAAAAAGGGCTTTCTCCGCACGGCAGTGTGAGCCGCTCGCTCGATGCTGTTGCTTCATCTCTGTCACTGTCTGACGGCGGAAGGCAGCTCGGGGGCTGTGGCAGCTCGGGGAGGCTGCCACAGCTCGACAACTGGGGCGGGTCGGTCGGTACCGGCTCGGTATTGATCGCCGAGCGGCGGAGATGCGCCTGGGAGGTGTCGGTCGCTGGGGTGGCTCGACCGAGATGCTGGTGAAAAGGTACACAGACCCAAAGATAAATGAATCCGAGATGCTTTCTTGGGATGGGAAATGGGAATGTCCTACGTGATAATATAGACGCCTTGCAATGGGCCATTGCAGGGCTGTGTCAGACTGCACACAACCCAATGCCAGTCCACATGCAAATGCATAGATATGTAGTGTGGTATATGATTTAATTTTAGACGTTTCAAATAGTGTCCCTCACTGTCTCACGTTGGACAAATACGACATAAATTGCTCACACTCACTACACCTCAGACACAACTATCACAATCACATCAGTCCCATCTCCGCCTCATCCCAGTCATCTCTCCTCTCTGCCTCCGCCGCCTCTGCCACCGCTCTGGCCGACGGGTGCCGCTACCTACCGCCGCCCCATTTTCGGCCGCCAGTCGCCGCCAGCGCGGGCCGGCTGGCCGGCTGACCGGCTGACCTGACCTCGACAGGTGCCCACCGCTCGGTCCCCGGTGACTCACGGGACTGAGAGCAGCGGTGGCTGATCGGTTCTGGGGCGGGTCATCCCGCGCCGGCTGATGGGTGTCTGAAGTGATAACAGATTCAGGCTTGAACCGTGTTGGCTCGTTTCAGAGTGTAATAAGTACTATAGTTGGTGTGGTTTGGTCAGTCGAATAAAACATCACCGGGCGGACACTGAGCTTATTTTACTATGGACAAATAGGTAAACTTGGCGACCTACTGTACTATAAACCGCCAGGGGGAATGTTTAAACAATTTAATTATGTGTGTAAAAATAAGCAATGAAAGTTTATTATTTTTATCGGATAGTCCAACGTGAGGCCAACGTAAAGCCGTTCTCCCCATAAACATGTACGTGTTAACTCCTCTAACTGATTTGCACGACATGCTGGAAGCATGTTTCGGTTGCCCTAGTGCCGGTTTGGCGCTCCATTTGCAGTGGTAAAACTGTTATTGTTGGCACTAGCGCCGCACGGTTGAGCGGCCGAGCTGTTAGTAGCCGTGTAACACCTGCCTTTCACATTGTAATCGGCGGCGGCGCGCGGGCTGCAGGCCATCGCCAGCTCGGCCCGCGCGCCTGCTGTCCCCTTCACATGACCCAGTGAGTGGCAGCACCCTCCCCTCCCCCTCCCGCTCCGCCGGCGGCACTTTTACCGACCCATATCCGTCCGCGGCGCGTTGCCCCACCGCGCGCGGCCCGTCCTGACACCGACCTGCCTGCTGTCTCCGCAGGTGAAAGTGGTCAAATTCAGCTACATGTGGGCCATCAACAACTTCAGCTTCTGCAGAGAGGAGATGGGCGAGGTGCTCAAATCGTCCACCTTCTCGGCAGGAGCCAACGACAAACTCAAATGGTGAGGAGGGTGACGGGCCGGTGCGGCACAAGGACAGGGTCAGGGACAGGCCGAGGGTCTGGAGAGCGGGGTGCGAGGGACTGATTAGTCGGAACGGACACACGGAGACGGGAGACAGCAGGCAAGAGGTTGGACGAAATTACTGGTCGATAGGAATGGGAGCACACGGTGGGTCAGAGAATGGAGCGTCGCTAGTGACGGGTTGGTAACAACAGCGGACGACAGTCTCCTGCACTTTCACTGGACCCGTGACGATGGCGCGCGAGCCGCGTAACGCTCCCTCCGACTGTGTCACGCATGTGACGAGGGGCGCCTGGACACGTGCCGCGTGCCACGTGCGGCCAGCGCGGTGTCACGCGGCGTTTCCGACACTGGTAACATTTCCGACGTCCCCCTGTCCTGAACTGGGGTCAATTCCTGCGGCCGATGTGATAGACATGGGGTGGTGAGGTCCAGGGTCCAAATCACACGTGGGTCGCTGTGTGGGGCGTTCGGGACCGGGTGGAATTTGGTAGTGGAGTTTGCCCCGGTTTTGTACGGACGTCCCGCTCGCTCGCTCTGTGGACGGTTCGTTGTGAGGCGAGAGGGACGCGTTCATAGAGCACCTGCCGGCCCGACCGTCGCTCCGTACCGCCGCTGGTCTGTGAACTGTGACGCTGGTCGAGGAGCGTTGTTCCCCTCCGGTCCTCCCCTCTGTCTCCCCTCGGCGACGGGTCCGCTCTCCCTGGACCCTCGCCCTCGCCCTCTCCCTCGCGTTCACCCTCTCCCCGTACGGCTGGCCCGGTCCCCTCCCGGGGTCCCTCTTTTTCGGCTGGCGGTTCGGGGCTCGTACCGTCCCCGTTCGTTCGCCGTCTGTCCGTCTCTCTGTCTCTCTGTCTGTCCGTCGGTCCGCGTCGGTCTTTCGCAGACATTGGACTCCCTGCCCCTGCATTGCACTAAAGCATACTCTCAATCTAGCGCTCTCTGTGAAACGTATTTTTACTCGGCGATGACTTGTATGCGTGACTGTGTGTACTGTGTGTGCGTGTGTGTCATTGTGTGTGTGTTTATGCGACATCATTGCCTTGCTCTTTTATTCATCTCTGACTAAGGACACGTAAAAGCTACGCGTTGCTGTAGAGTGTCTGCTATTGTCAAATACAAATACAAATACAAATATATATCGTTTCTCGCCAGTTCTGAACAAAATTTTTGCAATGTTCCGCCCTTTCCAACCCTGGCGCACGCCGCCCGTCCCAGAGATCGTTTCGTGTGATCCGTGGCTTACACAGCAGTGAAATGTGCGATGGGATGGGTGGTTCGCGATGAGCTGCAAATAACACACCTTCCCTGATGGTTCGTAAATTGTCATGTAGGTACCCGTGAGAAGTTGATGATGTTCACTTCACCGGTAGTTATTCGAAATCGTAGGATCGTGCTCATCCTTAAGGTAATGGTATGTCTTCGTTTAAAAACGCTTAGGGTAACCATGATTATGATTTCGGCTCAATCTGAAGCCCTCGTAGGCCAATCGGTCAGCTTTTTGCCTTTGACATGTGCATTTCCCAAAACTCGCGATAAACGCGACAGAAAATTCTGAACACACTGCCTTTCCGATGGGTCCCTCTCTTTCCTTGATTCGGCGGACGCAAGGTGCATGCCTCTGAGCGCCGCTTCGAACCAGCGTTGTGATATAGGTGCAGCTGTCGCCGTTATCAATATCCACCACCCTGCCTCATATCACCTCAGCGCGACCGGTGCGCTTGTCTGGTCTGTGTGCGTAGTCCTCCGGTGTGTGTAGGAGCGTGTGTGCGTGTGTGTGTGTGTAAGCGCCCGTGGCTATTTCTGGTGGGCGGGGCCGGTGCCAGCGGGCTAGGGCGGGGCAGGAGCGGGGCGGGGCGCTGTGTTTCGGGTCGGTGGGAGAGGGGGAGGGAGAGGTGGTGGGTAGAGGAGGGGACAGGTCCTGCAGCAGTGCAGCTCCCCGGCTACGGCGTCCTCCACGGCTGTAGTTCTGCCAACAATAACAGCTCGGCGCTAACTTAGTCGGTTGCTGTATTAGTGAGATGAGCTATCCGCCGAGCTGAGCCAGTGAGCCATCCACTGAGCTGAGCCGAGAGCTGCGAGCTCAGCGCTCTACATAATGTCAGGCTCGCTGCAGCGTGCAGTGATAGTGACTGGCAGCTCTGGTGATAGACTGACCGTGCTCTGAGGTATGGGACGATGTGTTCCGGGTATAGAGCTCGGGTTTATTTGGATGACATGATTCCGATGTTGCTTGTTAATGTACCCGGGTTAGCCTCGGTGATATGCCGCGGTAATCGGTCAAGACAGTGATTTATGGCGTTAGTTGAGTTGTTTGTGATCGGGTGCTGCTCCTCGTGTCACGTGAGCTGACGTTACGACATCCTTGTTGCAGGTGTTTGCGGGTAAATCCGAAAGGACTAGACGAAGAAAGTAAAGATTACCTCTCACTCTACCTTCTACTAGTAGCGTGCAACAAACAAGAAGTTAGGGCTAAATTCAAGTTTTCAATTCTCAATGCCAAACGAGAAGAAACCAAAGCTATGGGTGAGTTAAAAGACGCGCACGTGAAGGTATTGCAGTGAAGGCTGTTGCATATCTATGTCCATTGTCTCATCGATCAGTCATCGTGATTGATCATATTTGGAAATAAGCTGTGCTTGCACGTCAGTTACATGCACTGTGATGTCACAGAGCAGCATAGAGCTCACGGGCGTAGGGTTATGTAAATGCAGCCGAGTTATTCAATGATATTACCCTCTGAGGGCTTGTCTAAGGTCTCATCCCAGTCGCTGATCTTCTGCCCATCTGTCCGATTTCATCATCCGATCCGACGTGTGCTTTACCCACTAAGGTACTGCTACATTAAAATGTGATAGTTGTCTGCGGGTGAATCTTTGTCGCCGTCTCCGTCCACCTTTCTCCGCGGCGACAACGGCGGCCGACTGACTCCCCATTCTCCTCCGTTCTCAGAGAGCCAGCGAGCATACCGGTTTGTACAAGGCAAGGACTGGGGCTTCAAAAAGTTCATCCGACGAGACTTCCTCCTCGACGAGGCCAACGGTCTGCTTCCTGACGACAGGCTAACCCTGTACTGCGAGGTGAGAGATAGAGATAAAGAGAGGGACTGGGAGAAAGAGAAGGGGGAGAGAACTGAGAAATGCCACGGCCGTGGCTGTTCCCAGCCGATTGAGGCCGTAATCTGTCAGGAAATCGGTGTGTGATAGCGCCCACAGCCGGTGGTGCCGTTTGAAATCGCATTCTCATGCGGCGACCTCGCTTAGCGATTACAGAGACCTTGGATGGGCTGCGGCGGCGAGACCCGCCGCTGCTTCCACCTCTCGGCCGCGCCGCTAACCTCAGTTTTCCGGCAGGTGAGCGTGGTGGCGGACAGTGTCAACGTGTGCGGCCAGTCGAACCAGGTGCAGTTCAAGGTGCCCGACTGTCGGCTCTCGGACGACCTGGGTCAGCTGTTCGAGAGCCAGCGGTTCAGCGACGTCACCCTCTCGGTGGGCGGCCGAGAGTTCCAGGCGCACAAGGCGCTCCTGGCGGCCCGGTCGCCCGTGTTCGCCGCCATGTTCGAGCACGAGATGGAGGAGCGAAAACACAACCGTGTCGACATCACCGACGTCGACCATGAGGTGCTGCGCGAGATGCTGCGCTTCATCTACACGGGAAAGACCAATAACCTGGAGAAGATGGCCGATGACCTGCTGGCGGCAGCCGATAAGGTCAGACTCGGTCGGGTCGGAGGGTGGGGAGGGCGCCGGTGCGGCGGAAATAATACTTGGGTGTGGCCTGTGGGCTGTGGGATATGGTTTGGTTCATATACGAGACATTATGCGAGCCATATTTTGTCACATGCAAACCCTCTGTTTGCCTATCAATGTCACCTCTCGTTGCTACCTCCCGATATAACCTCTCGACTGTTATCCCCCTGCCCCACATCTGACCTGCGTCTGTCCCCACCCCACAGTACGCCATGGAGCGACTGAAGGTGATGTGCGAGGCGGCCCTGTGCGCCAACCTCAGCATCGAGAACTCACCAGAGGTGCTCATCCTGGCTGACCTGCACTCGGCAGAGCAGCTCAAGGCGCAGGCCATCGACTTCGTCAACATGTGAGTTTCTCAGTGATCGGAGAGTCCAACCGCAGAAACTCGGCGCAGAGCTGGCTGCGACGCACCGCGGGGAGCTGAGTTAATCCTTCAGTTATAGATCATATCACACCTGACATGTAGGCTATCGTTCCATCACATGTAGGCTTTACCCTGGCGTGAAACGAAAGCTGCTATTTTATCAACGTGGTATTTAGTTTCTCTGTCCGCTTTTTCCCGAGTGACAAGGTTAGCAGCCGGGTTTAGGCTAATATCTTTTGTCACCGACCCATAAGCGCTGTCACACGGAAGGGGTGTTCAGGTGCCGACCCCATTACCAGCGGACCTGCCTTACATTATATCTCTGAGTAGCGCCCACCGGGTCTCGAGCCCTGCGGTTTCTCCGAGTCTTTTCTCTGCGTCGCCCTGCATCTCAATCGCGCCGTCCGACCGGACTCTCACTCATGAGCGGGGTGAAAGTGTGGTCGATACCACTAGACATCGGGGAGAGAGAGTACAGCTGGGCCGGGGAGAGAGCACCGACGGACGGAGAGAGAGTGTATTTATCGACACGGGAGAGAGTATAAACGGTGCTCTCTGCCGCATCCGCTCTGACTGGGCTGCACCCATGTGATTTGTGTTACTGTGCAGTGTGCAGAGAGCTGCAATGTAACAGACTATTCCTTTCTCGTCGTCGCATGCGATCTCCCTTTAGTTTCTCTCCCGCTCTCTCCCCTCACTCACCAACCCTTGTTAGTGGTACTTGTTCTCACTCGCTTCTCTTTTTCTCTCCCCTTTCTCTGTCTAAATATTTTTATCCACTTCTCTTTCCCTCTTGCGCTGCTTCCCACGACGCGCCGTCTCGTGTCTCAGTCTTATATTGTATGCTTCCCCCCGCTCTGCCCTCCCCGCCACCACCGACCCCCGCTCTCCCCCCGCCGTTACTGCCTCCCTCTCTCCCCCCCGCCGTTACTGACTCCCCCTCTCTCCCCGCAGCCACGCCACGGACGTGATGGAGACGCCCGCCTGGAAGTCGATGATCACATCTCACCCGCACCTGATCGCCGAGGCGTTCCGGGCGCTGGCCACCCAGCAGGTGCCGCCCATCAACACCACACGCAAACGGATGAAGCCCTCCCCGTGAGGCGGTGTCTGGGAGCCAGCGAGGGGCGCCGGCTGCGCGCCACGCGCCGTCAATGTTCAATGTTCAAAGCGGCCTGCGTCGCTGCCGCCGCCGGCACCGGTCAGGGGTCGTCAGACAGTGTGATAGCTGCCGCCGCGCCGGACTCGTTGTTACGCGGACTGTACCCAGACGGTCCTCGTGATGGTCCGTGGATTTCTGTGGTCCCAGTGGTCCTCAGAATGGTCCCGGTGGTCCGAAAGGACCGTCGCGCGGTCCGGCCGGCCGGTCCTGCGCCCTACGAATTCAGCGTACGTATGTGTAGTCCGTTATGACCTGATTAGAGGTCCTTTCTGGTACCGCTGCTCGGCCCGCTTCGAGGTCTGCCATGCGGTCCTCACAAATCCCGCTGTGTGATTCTCGAGTCTGCGAGATTCGCCTGGTCGTTTTAGTCGTCTGTGGTTCTCCGCCGCGATCCGCTGGTTGGTGGATGATTGGTCTCTGGGGACCTTTTGGTCCCGTTGTCCCGGCCACCGAGAGGGACAGGGCCCGGCCGCTGCCCACCGACCGATCTCACGGGCGCGCGGCGGCTCCGTTGTTACTGCGCCGCGCCGGCACCTCGGATGTGTACCTGTGTGTGTATGTCTGTGTGTGTATATCTGTGTGCCAGGGAGTGGAAGAGAGCTCGCGCTGCATTGTGTGTATGTGTGTGTGTGAGGGGCCTCGTCACGGGTCCCGGGGAAGCGTCCCCCGCCGTCGCCGCCGCCGGCCGGTCGCCGCCCGGGGTGTTGGGTGCCCGTGTTTCTCGCGGAGCGCCGCCCCCGGTGCAGGAGACCGCTGCGCGTGGCGGCGGTTTATTTGTTAACATTCTGTGCGACTCCGCACGACGCCGTCTGTGTTCAAAAGCAATCATGTACAAGGTCATTACGTGCACTGGTAATAATAAACCGATCCTGCCGTACTCGACGCTTTTCTAGTTGGCCGGGCGTGGTGGGTTATGTCGCCATGGTTCATCAAGCGTCCCCGCGTACCTGAGGTGCACCTCGTGATACCGGGAGGAGTACAATGTGTACCGCTACAGTGGCTCGTAATCTGGAACAGACGACCGGAGAGAAACGGCCGTCAGTAGCCGCGCACCGGGGGACAGAACGCAGTGTAAACGAGATGACTGTGTATTGAAGTCACACGCAGACAAGGTGTAAGTTCGACGCTCAGTTCACGGGACAAATGCACTGATACTGTGGCACCGGAAAAGGAAAACTCTAAACCACATCTCATCAGCTTAGCGTTGGATGGTTCATCAATGAGTAGCAAGACGCTAACTGAGGACAGTGACGGCAAATGCATCTGCGTGTGAGCCGACATCAATATTTCACTTTACACTCACTTCACAGCTCACACCCCAAAGCCAATGAACATTGATACGATGCGACTATATTATTAACTAGGCATGATGGGTAGATGATATATCACGGTAGTGTGATTGTTACGCAGATTACAAGTCCAATACCTCCAAATTGTATGAGCAGGGAGTTTCGAAAACCCTATCCTGCGTCATACTTCAACCCTGACCAGTGACCACTAGATAGACACTGCTACCGTTAGTTTCAGAACTCTACCACAGATGTCGCTACGATCGACACCAAGCACCGAACCACGCTAGATGCGATCATAGTAGATTGCCTCGGTGGGGTAATCAATCGATCCATAATCGTCACCTCTGTGCGCGAACGAGGCGACTCTGGCCCGCTCCTTGGACCGCGAGAGTAGGATGGCGGCTCCGAGGGTGGCCGCCGCTCCGAGGGCCATCAGCATCAGCATGGTGGTCACCGTGGAGGGACCCCGGCCGTATACCTCTGTGAATGAGGGGACGATAGGTCAGACGAGAAAGAGAGCGAGAGAGATAGAGAGCCACAACCACCAGAGACCTCCATCGCGTTGGCCAAGTTTTCCCGAGGAGGCTAATAGCTCGTAGGTATGCTGACTAATGAAACAACGAAAGCTTAACACATCTTACCAATGTTATCATGCACAGAGTTCCTAAGTGATCGGGAGTTGGGGTAAGCAACCATCTTTGATTAAGATGAAGTTACTCGTAGACTAGTAAACATGGTCACGATATGTGATTTAATTTTTAAATGCGCTTAGCCAAAACGATACACTTAGTGGCTGTTCAGATATTTGCGAAAACTCAGGAAGGGCGTAGGTCCCCACCCACCCTCCATCTCGGCACACGATAACGACTACAAACAGACATGAATGACGCAACGAAACAAACGTATACTCTGTTCATTTCATCGTGCGGTGTGCAATGTGTACGCACTGTGCAGTGTGCAATGAGCCTCTTCCACTACGATGACAAGGAACGATTCTGTTTGGAGTGCGTTCGACTCAGACCCATGCCGTGGTTATGCGATAAGTCTTCGGCAGACCATTGGGTAACACGTGATAGCGGAAGAGAAGATGCTATCAGGTAACAGGCATTTTTCCTTCCGCTGTGATCACCCACAGTTATTGATAGAACCTAGCTGATACATTAATGATTAGAAAAGAATGCAATGGAAAAACGATAACCGCTTGGACGGGGAAGTAACTTACTGCCTAATAAAGAAGAATAAATACAGTCCACCAGAAGCCATTAGCACTTAGCAGGCATTGATTGATGTGCGTACACATGCGCTGTAACGTTATCCATAAAAGCATTGAAAAATGAAGTTATCATGTCTTGAAAGCTACACAAAAAGCTACACTGTTGGTCCAATGACCATTGACCTATGTACCTCAGGTGTAGAGATCAATTAGGCTGGTCTATCACCCTTCATTCAAAACTGATACCTCCATTCCTATAACGCCGGTGAAGTGGGCTCTCACCTGCGTCCCGGCTCTCCGTGCGACGGCTGGGCTCTGCCGGCTCCTTGAGACGCGCCTGCTCCTTTCTGCTGTCGACCTCCGGCTCTTTGCGGGGTTCCTCGGCCGTCGGCGGTGCGCCCGGACCGAACGGACCAAACGCACCGCCTGGGAATGCGCCTGGACCGCCCGGACCAAAGTGACCACCCGAGCCACCCGGAGCGCCCGGATGGTCCAGCAGCGCGTCCGCACCGCCCGGGACCACATCTGCCAGCTGAGAGATGATCACCGTCATGAAGTCCTGGGCCAGCGAGATGTTCAGCTTGAACAGACCGCTGGTGTTGAACGTGACGACCCCGAGGTTCATGCCGACGACGGCCGAGCCGTTGACGACCACAGCGGCCACCCTGCCGTCCGGGAGTCGCGGGATGGTGCCGTCGGAGCCAGCCGGCCGACCGTCAGCTTTGTCATCCTCCTTCGCGTCATCTTGCTTATTATTTCCAGCTTTATTGTCACCTTCGTCTCCGTCATTTTCATCTTCGTCTTTTCCGTTTCCATGAACGTCAGCTCCATCAGCTCCATCGTTGTCCTTCCCACCATCTCCCTGTGCCTTTCCATCCTCAGTCTTTCCCAGCCACGGACCGCTCACCGAGGGTGCCCGCATCGCCAGCAGAGGCCGCTGCTCTCCTGCGGCGGTCGCCGGCTCTGCGCTCGGCACCTCGTCCTGCACACTCGTGTCGTTAGCGGTGTCGTTCCGGGGCACGGCTCGGATCATCACCACGTCCACAGAGTTGCGCGTGCGGTTGACGATGATCTCGTAGACGCCGCCGAAGGCGAATACGCGGATGTTGTCGCGCAGCCGGCTGCGATTTGCGAACACGGCGTCAAACGTGGCGACGTCCGGGATCACTATCGTGTCTTCGTCAGGAGAATCGGGTACCTCTGGGGTTTCCGGGACTTTGGGAGCTTCAGGGGTCTCAGGAGTTTCAGGTTCCTCTGGGGCCTCAGGTTCTTCAGGAGCCTCTGGCACCTCAGGAGCCTCTGGCACCTCAGGAGCCTCAGGGTCTTCAGGAGTATCGGGTTCTTCAGGAGCATCGGGTTCCTCTGGCGCCTCCGGAGCTTCAGGTTCTTCCGGGACCTCGGGTTCCTCTGGAGCCTCGGGTTCCTCTGGAGCCTCGGGTTCCTCCGGGGCTTCAGGTTCCTCCGGGGCTTCAGGTTCCTCCGGGGCTTCAGGTTCCTCAGGCTCTTCCGGTTCCTCTGGAGTCTTTGGTTCTTCAGGTTCCTCTGGCTCTTCAGGCTTCTCCGGAACCTCGGGTTTCTCCGGAACTTCCGTGGCCGGCGGCTGCGTGAAAAGAGGAGGCCTGCCGTGTCCGTCTGCGCCCGGCCGAACGATCAGGTCCCCATCCTTCCCGGAACTGCCGGAGCCTCCCGAACTCGAACCTCCGGTAGTGTCTCCGCCTCCTGACGAAGTGCCGTTTTTATTCTGTGGTGGTAGGGGTACTGGCAGATGGATCTTAATGACCTCGATGTCACCGATGAATGGGATTTTTCCGGTGATACTAGAGATGTCGAACTGCAGAGCTGTTGAAGAGAGGGTTTGTAATGGTTACATACACAATACACACGTGACACTAAGATTCGTACAGCGGGCAAGGTACACTAAATGTTTCATTGATCCGTTAGGAGGCCGATGTAGGTTAGAGTTAGTATGCCTTTGTGTTGTTGAGGACACATTTTACATACATACAAATCAGGTTACATTTACGGTAGAACCGGTGGTAAAATGGATGGGTGGGTGTTGACAAATGACAATGACACCAAACCTCATCGCTTTATCAGATATAATTTCTGCCAGTCCCGTAGCTCAGTCGGTAGAGTGATGGACTCCGCGTGGTAAGAGCGCGCGTTCCCGGTTACAACAGTCCGGGTTCGAAGCGCGACAGGTGCTTGACGTTTATGGGCCTCCTTACATGGGTACATGGGTATGGTTGCGGTTGGTGGCAGGCCGTAGCCAGGCGAACTCAGTGAGGGGACCGGCCGTGCGCGGCTATGTGAACACGTTAACCCTAGAACGCCTAGGGGGGGGGGGTTGTATCAACCCCCCCCCTGAGGTTTTTTCGAAGTGCACGCTAAACGGCTTGTCGTAGCGGGCTGAAATTTTCAATACCCTCTGGGGCAACCTTTGCGCATCTTTTGCCGAAAAAAATTGATCGGGTCATGTCAGGTCACGGAGTTATGACGTCATAAGAGGTACAGCCTCCGGCCGACAGTTACCAAACGTGTGCGCCGAATCCCTAGGTTTTCTGCCGGTGATACCCACATTGTTTGATGGATCATGATGAAACTTCCCATGCATGTTGGGGCAAGCATTGGCTATCGTGTGGTGCAAGAAAATTGACCGGGTCAGGTCAGGTCACGGAGTTATGACGTCATAAGAGGAACAGCGTCCGGTACTATTTTTGAAAAGCGCCCGAACCACTATTTTGCTAATTCTTGTCACCTCAATGGGAATATGCAGCAATATTAGCTTCTATAAGGAGCAAATGGACCTTCCAAATCCAAAAATACAATCAGATTTCAAAAATTTAAATTTTGATTTTTCGAATTTCTGCCGCCGACTGTGACCTTGCCGACTTCCGGCGCTCCCAACACGCCATTTTTAGAGCTAGGGAAACGAAATACATACCAAACGATAGAGAATTGATCAAGGAACACGATAGTGAAGGTTTCAAGTCGATATCTCCCACCGTTTTGCCGCAATCGCCGCGGAAAGTTGAAAAAAGTCTATTTTTCCGAAAATTTGACCTTTGACCGGTCAAAAGTAGGTCAAATGTTGACCTAGGACCAAAAAATATACCACCAATCGCGAGATCTCGTTGAGAGCAATCCGTTGGTTTTTTCCGCTAAGCTCTACGACCTTCCGTTTCGAAACGCCAGGGGGGGGGTCGTAACAACCCCCCCCCCCCTGGTCGTTCGTGTTATGAGAAATGGCCTGGTCGTGCGAGGGTTAAACTTTGGACTCTAAATTCTTCCACATAACCGGAATTGCGCGATCGGAAGATAAAGGGCAGGGTCACCGCAACAAACTTCGCTTAGCGGGGGCTCTGTTCTTGTGAATCCTTCCAATCAAAAGGTTCGGACTAAATTTATTTAAAAAAGAGGGATGCAATCCCAGACCATTGGAAAACTGAAACCAAAAGCACTAAAGGTAGGTACCATTGAAATGCTTGCTAACATAAAAAACAGCACCTTGGAACGCTAAAAACAAAACTTATTTTGTACAAAAGTCAGAGCACGATGCAATAGGTACTACAGTGTTCTAGAAACTAATAAAATACCTAAGACATTACATTTGACATACCAAATACCATAAATCGGTATGAATATACTGGAAGCTGATATCCGGTTGACACCTCTAGCATGGAGGAAGGAGTACGCAAGTCTGGACGGATAACACGCATGGCAAGGGGTATGGAACTGATACTGCTATCTATAATTCGTTGAAGTACCTAGCACATGCCATCTAAATTATCATGGGTTCAATGATAAAAGGGCCGAAGCATAACCGGTGAACAGCATTCCATGTTTATCTGGTGGATAGACTGATAACGAAAAATGTATTGGCGGCTTACATAATTAAAAAGGGTACAGTAGCACAACATTTCCAAAGACCTCGCGCACCATAATTGATCAGCATCCATGCATTATATACATAATGTAATTGATTCCGCTTACCTGGCACTGGAACTTCTGTCGTGGTTGAGGTGCTGGTCGAAGTGGAGGAGATAAAATGGTGTTTGTCTTTCTTCTTGGTCAGACCTGTCGACAGGAATTATATAATTATATGGTCATTGGCGAATCCAGCCGGACGTTTTTTTTTGGGGGGGGGAAGAGGGGTAAATGTCCGAAATGGCCCTTTTCTTTCCATGCACCGCCATAGGCGTACCTACTGTCAAAACTCGGATTTTTTTTTGGGGGGGGGGCAAAGGGGTTTTGGGGGAGGAAAGCATGGCTCTAAATGCCCCCTGGATCCGCCAATGATATGAGTTGAACTTCCGTTCGAGCCACTTTACACGGTCCATGTTGCGGCTGGGTCTTAAGCGCAATTTTCAACGTGGAAAGTTTACTCTACTCGGCCGAGGGTGCGGTGCTACATTTGACCACCATTTTCAGGACAGGCCCATGGCAGTGGCGCAGCCAGGATTTCGTTTCGGGGGGGTCATCGCCTCCAAAGCGGGACCCCTAGTGTGCGGGCCCCCACCCATTTTTCAGAATCTTTCCATATTTCATACGCATTCTGCTGAGCGGGCCCCCTTTACCTGCATGATAACCCTGAGCGAGTTTGAATCGGAAAATTTTGATAGAACAATAGTTCGGTAATCACCCGGTGTTCAATTTCCACATGAATTGACCATGACAGAAATATGTTACTATGACGTATGAATTCGTATCTTTCGAGGCCGAAATGTGCCCCTACTGCAATATGCATAGCATATATGCAAACTGAACTGTTGTCTGCTTCTGTCGGACAAGATTTAAGCAGACAAGATTTAAGCAGTCCCACGTGCCTGTCCTAACTCAGTCATCTATTGGCTGCTGTAGTAGATTGTGCTTTATTCTTCTTCATTACGTGATTTCGCTCACAAGCAGTTTTAACCCTCGCCGGCACAGGGGGAGGGGATGATGCAACCTCCCCCCCCCTAAGGTTTTTCGCGAATAACTCGGGTAAAAATCGGCCGATCGCGACCAAACTTTCAGTACCCTCGCGTTGATCACACCTACCCTAGAAATTTCATGACCCTGACCCAAATGGCCTTTGACCTGTGACCTACTTTCCGAAGACCATGTTTGGCCAGAATCGCGATTCGGCGTATGCCGGCTCGCATTAGCCGCGCGTTTGCAGTCTTTTCGTGGTTTCAAGCATTCAAACATGTGAGTTGATGCTGCTCCCATGCATTAGGGTGGATGTCAAGGTCACCTGAAGGTCAGGTCAGGTCATTGACCTATGATGACCTCGGTACTTTTTCGAATTATACATGTTTCCAGGCTAGTTTTTGGAGCTGAATCCGAATTTAGCAACCATTTGAACATTTACGAAGTAGTTTTGGTGCCTTCGTAACATGTTACGAAGCTGCCAGAGGCGGCTGGCACGTAGGTACATACTACGAATACCCGGCAGGACCCCTACTGGTTGACCTGACCTGACCTGACCCGACCTGGCTTAAATGCATAAAGACATCATCTGTGATCAAAACTAACATGATAACTATTCATGATCAGTACCCCGAAAAACCCTATAGCAGCCACAATTAACGACGTTCTAACAGGTCCCGATTTTCCCGATTTTTCGGTCATTGACCTGACCTGGAAGGTCAACCAATGACCAAGAACCTTAAAATTGGGTATCGTCGGCTTCCTCTCGTCACGGGGAACACGCTCGTATTTCCCGCGAAGCTCTAGCTCGATCATGGGCCAAACACGAAGGGGTCGTACCACCTTGTGCCGTCACGAAGGGGTCGTACCTCTTGTGCCGTCGAAGGACGCAAAATGTCCGGAATGGCCTGTGCCGGCGAGGGTTAACGCGCTCATATGGGACATGTATTGCCATGGGCCGGGTTTGTTGTGGCGTGGTGATGTGGTGACGTAGATTCTGTCTGCTATCGAGGTCCCGGCATGGTGTTACTTAGCGTGGGGTACGGGCCCGACCGTTGCGCCAAGTGCGCTGAAATTTGCGCAACTTATAGATTAAGGATGGGCAACGTGCCTTTGAGGGTCTCAGCTCGATCGGATTGATAGCGAGCACATGACGCGTGCTCAAAAAGTGCAAATTCGCGTTATGGACTTTACATGTATGCATAAATCGGCTTGCAAAATCGGGCGAAAATGACTAAATTTGCCAGACACTGGTCCGGTCCCCGTGCAGTATCTCGGTAACCGTGGGCCCAATCGCCACGGGGTATCGTGTAGAGAATCGAAAGGGCTATCGAATGGTGTGCGGTGCAGGGATGGCACGCGCCACGTGCACCCGTGAGGGCACTTATACTGGGAAATTTACGTTTCGGACAGATTTGGGACTTAATGCTATTTTCGGGTGACTGTTTGGCGGAGCGGGTTCAAACAACGCCTGTTGGCAAAAGAAATGTACCGCCTCTCATGGAAAAATTGTGAAAAGCTAATTGATCAAAAACAAGGTGGAACAAATCGCTGGAGAGAATGGCATTTGTTAATGACTTACTTAATTACACGGGTTTTACTGCATAACCTGTTACGTTTGACAGTTGAAAATGGCATAGTTGGAAAGAGCATTCAATTTTGTCCAAAATCCAATCATCGCTTTTGCATGACGAGCAACAGTATTCTTAAAAATATAAATGTTGGAAACCTCTACATAGTAATTCATCGATGGCTGTCATTTTTTCAATAACCTACGTCAACCGTTGTTATAAACTACACATATGACATGTTCTATAGTAGAACGCATGCTTATCAGACACGAGCACCTCGATGCAATGGATATTTTTTCCCAATCCAAAATGCTTAGCCGTCAAAAAGCAATCAACCGAAATGGATACATCACCCACGGACACAAGACCAACCAAATGCCCACCGATCGAAAATACCCCTTATTCGCTTTGCGGAGCAAGCGGGTCACCCTAGCGGGCCCCATTCAACCAGGGGCCCGGGCCCTATCCACACGGGGGCCCGGGCCACGTCCACCTGGGGCTCCGGGCCCCGTCCACCCGGGGCTCCGGGGCCCGTCCACCAGGGGGCCCGGGCCCCATCCATCCGGGGGCCGGGCCCCTGTTCTCCCGGGGGCCGGGCCCCATTCACCCGGGGGTCCGGCGTCCACCCGGGCCCGGGGCCCGTTCTACCGGGGGCCCGGACCTATCCACGGGGGTCCCGGGCCCCATCCACCCCGGGGGCCCGGGCCCATTCTCCCAGGGGCCCGGATCAATTCTCCCGGGGGCCCGGGTCCGTTCTCCAATCTCCCGGGGCCCCGGGCCCGTTCTCCCGGGGGTCCGGGCCCCATCCACCCAGGAGGCCCGGGCCCGTTCTCCCAGGGGCCCGGATCAATTCTCCCGGGGGCCCGGGCCCGTTCTCCGGGAGGCCCGGGTCCGTTCTCCAATCTCCCGGGGCCCGGGGCCCGTTCTCCCGGGGGCCCGGACCCATCAACGGGGGGGGGGGGGGCGGGCCCCATCCACCCAGGAGGCCCGGGTCAATTCTCCCGGGGGCCCGGGCCCGTTCTCCGGGAGGCCCGGGTCCGTTCTCCAATCTCCCGGGGCCCGGGGCCCGTTCTTCCGGGGGCCCAGACCCATCAACGGGGGGCCCGGGCCCCATCCACCCAGGAGGCCCGGGCCCCATCCACCCAGGAGGCCCGGGCCCGTTCTCCCAGGGGCCGGGCCCGTTCTCCCGGGGGCCCGGGCCCCGTCCACCTGGGGCCCCAGGCCGACCCCTCACCCGTGGTGTCCCAGTAGGCATTTCTCGAAGCGGGCTCGTCCGATTAGATTAGGGCCTCTCTCCTCCCTCTCTCTCTCTCTCCCTCTCTCTCTCTCTCTCTCTCTCTCTCTCTCTCTCTCTCTCTCTCTCTCTCTCTCTCTCGAGCGGGCCCCTGACAGAAATTTCGGGGGGGTCAGCTGACCCTCTGACCCCCCCCTGGCTGCGCCACTGGCCCATGGTCAGCAGGTCAATGAACAATGGAAACGTATTCCTGGACAGAAATATGCACGTCTTATACATATATCAAAACGCCTATAAAGTAGGTAGGTATACTAGGAGTACTACTTTTCAAATTTTATTAATGAGAAGCGTCGGCCGATGAGAGCTGCAAACGCTCGTACAAGTGAAGGAATAACCAGGGCACTAAAGAGTAGTAAAGTAATCTTGCTAAAGAGTCACTAAAGGGCACCTAAAGGGCACTAAAGAGGGAATAACAAACATTTCGTGCGATGTAACCGCTTCCCAACTGCCCCCTCCCTCACGAGGCGTTAACGATTCATGCCGGACGCTGCCGGTCTCGCTGTTAAAGTATTCTGTTTCCGACTGATGTCACAAACGGCAGTTCTCAAAAGGAGGAATTCACCTTCCGGCCAGCTCTGTGTAGCATCCAGCCCAGTCACGTTTGGGATTCATTGACAGGATACACAAACGGTGCTAGACCAACAAAGGCACAGGACTATATGTGGTACTGTGTACTGTGTCCACCGTCCACAACTGCTGAGGCGTTTTCGTATAGCTTCAGATGCAGACGCATCACGGCCACATACTCTTTTAGAAGAAACAGGAAAGCAAATGCTGAGGCATCTATCGCGATATTGGCCACGGTATTAGTCACGGACAAGATACTGCATAGAACAATCGTTAACCCTCGCCCGCACATGGGGGGGGGGGGGTGGTTGCCACCAGAAGGCTGATTTTTCGTATAGCTGCTCGTCTATCCTTTCTTGATGTCCACTTAAAATTTCAAGTTTCTGTGTTTTTTGGTTTCGGAAATATGACCTTGTTTTTCAGGTCATGTCATGACCCAAATGGCCAATTCTCAACATCTTGCGTATGCCATGGGCCTTGTGAGCTTTTGACACCCTGATTTCGGCCTTTTTTGCCAGTCTTACCTCCCACCTATCATGGAACATGTTGTTCGACGATGTACAGGGGTCAAGGTCAGGGTCAAGGTCAACCTAGGTCATCTAAGATAATTGCGTTTTAGGCAAGCTGAATTTACTTTTTGTGAAGTTTTTTGACTGCATTTTTGGTAAAAGCTTCTCAGATCATGATTTCATGTGATATGGACCCAAAAACAATCGGTGCACACATCAGTATACACACAGACACACACAGACATACAAACACATATAATTGACCTTGACCTAACTTGACCTGAAATGACCTCAGCAGCAAAATTCTGGTCGGATAGTGTGACAAAGAGGTTCTAGCTGGCTTGGCACCAGAAAACAGCATCGTCATCGGTAGGGGAGAGTGGTGCAGGAGGCCCCCCCTTAAGCTCAGTTACTATTTTTAGACAACTGATAATATTTAAGCGCTAACGTGTGCATGCGCTGTGAGCATGCATCATTTTCCCATACATATTTGCATTCAAAATGAATCTAGGGGGTACACAAACCGTAAACTTTAACATTTTGGAAAAAGTTGCAAAAGGGCCTCTTACACTATGGGTATGGTAAGACGCCCCCCCCCCCCTCGGGCGTTTTAAAAGTCAAGTCGACTTGTAAAAGACGCTTTGCGAACACAGCTGCAAGGCCTTTTATTTCGAAAAGCTAAGCAAATACGGTGTTATCGAAACCAATAACACTTCCAAAGCGCTCGAACAATGCGAAAACTAGCACAACCAAACGCTGATGACCAACGAAAATTGTACCTATAACCTCTAAGAAAAGAAACAGAAAAAAGAAACAAAAACAAACTCCTTGAAAAAAGAATGCCACGCCTGCCGCAGGTGCAGGCGTTTTAGCATCGGGGGCGTTTTTTTATCGGGGGGCGTTTTATCATCCTCGAAGGGAGGGCCTCTTAAAAAAATACAGTGTTTTAACGTCCACAATATTTATGGTTTATGAGACATTTGCAGCGCACCAGAACATGGTCTATTCTGAAGCTAACATGTGACAATTTCGATGAGAAAAGATTGCATTTGATAGCCATTGTTTTTTTCAGATATATAAGGGTGATAAAGATGCATATATCTAGCAAGTAAAGGGGCAAAAACAGAAACAGGCTTACCAAAAGTCGCTGCGACGCACCTGATACCTCAGGTTTCGTGAGTTGTTGTTTCAAGAGGGCTTCTGCTTTACAAGAACATTAAAAAATAAATAACATTATTGGTTTGGTAAAAAAAGCGATGGGGCCTCTTACCGACCCTGGGCGTCTTACACGGATCTCCCCTATTTGATAAGCAGCGCACTTGATATCCAACGGTGACCCAAAACAGCAACATTTTTTAGTTTGACCTGACCTGGAAGGTCAATGACTGACCTGAGAAGGTAAAACTGGGTATCATTGGATTCGTCTCTTCCCAAAGAATCTTTTTGGTCTTTACTGCTAAGCTCTATCTCCAACAGGAACGAAATGGCGCGGGGGGGGGGGGGGGGTGGCAACCACCCCCCCCCCCCATGTGCGTTCTAGGATGGGAAAATGGCATGTGCGGGCGAGGGTTAACTGACATTACCAGCCGATATGGAACATATTTGATCAGTTGAGCTAACTTCGTTTCGCATGGGGCGTGGATCCATGTCGATCTATTACGGTTTCGGACTTATATCCTGGAGGTGAAGAACCCGAGAATGAGACGAAGAAATATTTTAAAGTAAACGATTTTATATTTCACTATAAGCTGGAACCTTAACGCTCCACCATGTAAACTGAGGGATAAGGAAATTAAAAGCGTGAAGTCTGAGGCTTGTCGGGCATGATAAGGCACCCGGCCTGCTATGTCAGGAGTAGAGCACTTCACGGATAGGCTTTTTAGGATCCGGCCCGGCCCATATCCGGCAAGTCATATCCAGATCCGCCCATTATCCGCCGTTCTTTGAATATCAGAATCCGGCCCACCCATGGCCCGTATTGCAGCCAAACTTCCAAAAAAATATCCGTAATAATCCGTTTCACCAATAACTGGTTTCACCCAAAACTGGACTAACAAATTCAATCTAAGGGACCAGACAGCCATACATCTCATAGACCATCATGGTTCCAAAAACCATGCATACATTGCATACATTATCCACTTGAAGACAAGTCTTGTGACAAGTGAGTGTCATAAAATGATGCCTATTACTTTAATCAAACCTCTGCTGCCGCTTAACACATTAGGTTAATTTTTAACTTCAATGTTGAATGTTAAAATTTTGATCCGTTTTGATCCGGGTTCAACCTTCAATTCCCAAATCCGGCCCGCCCATATCCGTTCTTTTTTAACAAATTTAGAATCCAATCCTATCCGGTCCGCGGATTTATCCGTGGATAACGGATTTATCCGGCCCATGAAGTGCTCTAGTCAGGAGGTCGCAGCAGCGAGCCTGCGAACTGCAGAAGTATCTCAACGGAATGAAAGGGATCCGCACCAGGGCACGAAACGATTAAAACGTCCTACGTAAGGCGACCATGAAACTATATTTCAAGAAGTTCCGACATGGCAGGGATTTCTTGTGAAAAAAAAACGAAAATGGCATGATTTATATGTGCCATTGCGATGCCATAGACCAAAGCATGCAACAAAATGGACATTATTAGGAACTTATTTTTTTGTGAATGCTTTCGGGATTCTCTATAACAAAATCCTGTAATTGAGCCTCGCAATCTCCCGAACCGGTTACCGTTTTCGTATGACTGATACTGTCCCGCCGAGATGGCCACACACAAGTACCATCCCGACCGACCCGATAAAGAAGCCTGAACCGTCAGCCCTCCCACCTCCACCCAACCCGCTGTTCCCATCCCGTCGCAAACTCACCAGCCAGGGCAGCTGGTGCTGCCACACACACCACCAGCACCAACACCAGCAGTGACGTCCTCATGCTGACAGTCCTCGGCCTCGACTGGTGCCCGCCAGGCCACTCGCCCCTCCCCCTGGCCCCGGAGGGGTGTGCTGCTGCTCTGCTGTTCGACTATCTGGCGTGCTGGGGCCGATAGCGGTACGGCAGGCGGCGGGGCGATTCGGAGAGGCCTGTCGCTAGGTGATCTGTAAACACAGGGCTCGGCGCACAGGGGACACGTGACAGCAGGGGCGGAGAATTGTCCTAATACCAGGGTGTGCTTTTCTAGCACCTGGCGAATGAAACTGTCGAATTCTTGCGTAGAAAAGCACGTATAGGTACGTTTTCCCAAGCAGCATCACTACTCGCGGCTTGCGCAAGCAGTTTGTGTCTCAGACGTAATTTAAGCACCCCTGGAGCACTATTATACGGTAACTTGAATTTCAGGGGGTCCTCGAGCACCCCCAACCCATAATTCTCCACCCCCGCGTGACGGAGCAGGGTTTGAGTGGGAGTGAAGGAAAACGAACATCACGATTTTTTAGTTCGAACTTCTTTTTTAAATAGTCCGTTACCCATGATCGGGCAACCAGGAAAGCCTACACCCTCAGTCCCAGCGCCAACCCTTTCAACCCGCGCCCCGCTGGAGGTTGGGGGGCAGAATCTGCCCCTCTCGTTTTTCGTCAATAACGTCCAAACGTGTTAAGCCAGCGACGTCAAACTTTCAGTACCTTATCATATATCAGTTTGACATGTTTTCTGAAAATTGGAGCGAAATTTGTCAGACGCTTTTTGCGAAAATGACGTTTTAGTGACGTCATGTCACGCCATTTTCGCTTTACAAACAGTAAAGTGAAACAGTACATGTATGTACAAACAGTAAAACTGTACAAACAGTAAAACTTCAAACTCCTCCAACACCATCGTCCATCAGTTTCAAGAATTAGGCCGTAACAAGAAAACATGTACGTGGTTCTACTTTGCCTTTTAAAATGGCTTTCACGGTTTTTTGAAAGTTTTAGCTTTTGACCTTAAGCTTTAAAAAAAAAGACTTTTTTTTCGAAAATCATTACAAAATCCAAAATTTTGAGTTTGGTGTTAAACCCGAATATATTTTAACCCGGCACCGCCTGGGCTATTTCCGTACCCACGACAGCCTGGGGGGGGTCGGATCCGACCCCCCCTGTTATCTCGAGAACCAATGGTCGTATCGAGCCCCGCGAGGCGGCGTTCGAAAGGTCTCTACGAGACCTTCCCAAAGCACTCTTAAGATTCTAAGATTGAGGTCAACTTTCGGGTCAAGGTCAGGTCAAAGGTCAAATTCAGGGGTTTTGCATGAATCGGCTTACGGACAGCGGCATCGATAGCTGCTGCTCGAAACTCACCAAAAATGACCTCAAAGGCCTAGTGAAGGTACCATGTGCGTATAGGGGTCATACTAAGCACGGGTCAAGGTCAGGTCAGGTCACGAAAGGTCACGGTTTTCACTTTCTGCTACATGGGCGTGCGACACATGTTTTATGGCTTATTTTTCACGCCGAATCCGATGGTAATGGTTATATGTGACCCCAAGTCACTGTGCTGGTGATAAGTGTGCATTGAAAGCATAAAAAATCGTGTATACTATACATAACTAAACGAGGGCTAAGAAAAAGTCAATTTTTCAACTTTTTATTTTTGACATAAAAATGCACTTTTCTAGACGAGCATTGTCCCAGGAATCTAGTGGTGCCATTTGTTTTTACATGCGATGTTCAGAAGTGCCTCTAATTCACGAAAATGCTTATGACGTCACCATGCCTTATGCATGTTGGAGCTATTTTTTACAATTTGGGGGTCAAAAATCAAGATAGAAAGTTGAAATTTGGGGCATGTAATGTTCTAATAGAGCTCTACAACATATATTCCGGTTTTTTGGAAATTCCCAAAATTTTGGATTTTATTAGCTGTTTTCCAAAAAATATAGTTTTTTGAATTTTTAGGGGTGAAAAACGCATTTTATGGAAAATCCGAGATAGCCATTTTAAAGAACTCGTTGAGCTGCGTCTTTTCATGTCCTTAATTTGCAATTTGCTTCAAACCCTCATTTTTGGCGATTTTTTAAACATTTACCACTTTTTGACAAAAAACGCCATGTAGTTACATCACTAAAATCGATATATCTCAAAATTTTTTGGAAATTTTTTCTTAAAAATTGCACAGGAGACGTCAAATTGATAGGGGAGAAGGTATGCCAAGCAGGGCTGCGGAGTCGGAGTCGGAGTCGGAGTCGGAGTCGGTCGGAGTCGACAGTTGTGACCGGAGTCGGAGTCGGAGTCGGAGTCGATTTTAGAAACCCGAGCCGGAGTCGGAGTCGGAGTCACCGAAAATCTGTCGACTCCGCAGCCCTGCTAGGTCTGCGGAGTCGGAGTCGGGAGTTGGAGTCGGTCGGAGTCGACAATTCTGCCCGGAGTCGGAGTCGGAGTCGGAGCTGGTTTTTGAAAGCCGGAGTCGGAGTCGGAGTCGGAGTCGCCGAAAATCCATCGACTCCGCAGCCCTGAATTGCCAAGTTTCAAGTAGATAGCGAAAGTGGTTCATGAGTTATTCAAGAAAAACGGAGGGGGGTCGGATCCGACCCCCCCAGGCGGTCGCGGGTTAAGAAGTCGTAGCTGTGCACATACAATTCAAGTTTTAGAAGAATCAGTAAAAAATGTAGGGGTTATTCAAACATTTATGACGTCACGACAAACAAAATTTAAAAAAATGAAGTTGTTGAAAGTGTAAAACCTCGTACAAGAACAAAAATAGCACTATTCCATTTGTCGTGAAAAACTGCATCAAAAATAGACACCTTTTTAGGTCTAAACAATCAACTTCAAAAGTTGACCTTGGTTTAGGTACCTACCTGATTTGACCTGACCACGACCTGAAACTCATCTTAATGTTTTCCATATCACTAATTGAGTGTGGCTATGGAGTTCTATGAGTAAAATGACCCATAAAACATGTGTCGAAGATGTCCTATTCTATATTTTGCTTTGGTGACCTGACCTGACCCTGACTAACCTTGACCTTTGCATGACATTTTATGCAACGAATCTTGTCTTGGTAGCCTCAGAAGGTACTTAGATGTTTCGGACAATCAATCTCAGTCCATTCTTCGCCAGCTGGACTCCAAAGCCAATAATGTAGAAACTTGCATTTTGAACCCTCGACCTGACTTTGATCTGACCTCTGACCTAGTGTGCCAAAAAAATTTGCCCTTATCTCAGGGGCCCAAAGATTTGTATTGTTGAGAGCTTTCGATTGCCGTTTTTCCGTCCTTTTACGACCATCGGTTTGGAAGTTAGACAGGGGGGGGGGGGGGGTGGCAGAATCTGCCCCTCCTCAGCGGGGCGCGTATGGCTGAACAGCCCAGCGGGGCGCGGGTGAACGCACGATGAAAAGAGCGGGATGAGAAAAAAAGGCACCGAATGAAGAGGCGAGTAACAGGAGTGGATCCGGGATTTTGTTAGGCCCGAGGCCAATGGGTGAGGGCGATATGTTTTTCACCTAGGGGCGGCAAAATGTACAATTGGGGCGCCTATAATGAAAATTGAAGACAACGTCCTCTGCAGTCTCTTTCCCTTGCTCTGATGCTATTTATGGGCATATAGTGCTTTGATATGCGGCGCCCCGATTCGTCGCTCCGCAGGACGGCATAATTTTTCGACTTTATCCCCCAAATCGCTGAACGGGGCACACCAAATCTCTGAGTGTCCTTGTTAATCCTTCCAATCAAAAGGTTCGAGCTAAATTCATTTTTTTTTTAATCCTTGGATCCGCCCCTGGGCTCAACTTATAAACGGCGTGGAATGGATATGGCAGCACTGGCTGAAGTTCAGCTGCAAAAAACGGCTATCCAATGCAAAATGGTTTTCACGCATTTCAGTCCATCGTATGTTGACGGTCTAAAGATTCACTATGTCGTTGACTCGGATAACCCTTTGTCAGCACTGGCATCACTGTAAATGTTACCAAATGCCGTGAATAGAATAGTACGGCATTTTATAAGATTGGGCCCTGGTGAGTAAGAATCCTTGATTGATAGATATCTACCAAATTTTGGGAGACAATAATCTCGGGATGTTGTTTTTCCACCATATTTTACTGAAAATTATCGGTGAAAATGTCCACGAAAAGCGTGGTGCTCAAATTTTGTCTGAAAGACGGCGATTGCACCGTGCGTCTTGCACTATGGTCCGCCGTGTCTGTCGGTGCCCTTTGAAGGACGGCTGCGGTGTTGCTACATTGCACTGCGACTGAGGGTGGATGGGCACCAATGCCAGGTCATGGCACAACAGGACTGGGTGGAGGTACGGAGTGCAATGTAAATAGTAAATACACAACGTGCAGGGGACTACTAAGTTTAGGTGGCTGAACGGAAGAGCATGAACTGCATCTTGATACTCATAGTTGTCATTTCCCTAACCAATCTATCGAAATTTTATCTTTTACATTCAATAATTGCCATTCAGATGCACCAATTAGCATAGCGCATGTGCCCACATAGCATTGTCCAGATTTCCATGCACAGCACATTTAGCATGCCATCTGCACTTTTCCTTCGTTCAATAGTCAATAAGCATGCATTTACTTGAGCAGATTCAAGATTCTATTTCGGAGGCTTTGTGGACACCCCAGTTGACCCTGAGCACGCCATTTTGGATGAAATGTGTCGCCTCGCATCAGTAACGGTACTCGTACTTGGCAGTCTGCGCGCTGGTTCGTAGGTCGCATTTATATAAGAAAGGTCGTGACTCGTGACAATAAAAAATGGACGAGCGGTGTGACTTGCCACGACGTGCACCATTCAACAGCTAAATAAACATTTCGGTGCAGCGAATCGCCTGCAAACATTTCTGTTTCCGAGAGCTGAGTGCATCGCTTTCATGGTGTCCAAGGCCGCCGCGTAACTCAAAGCTCGTTAGCTGTCGCTGGGTCTCTGATTCGTCATGCTCAGTGAATTATACCAGCTGGAAAGATCAGGGAATATACTCATCATGGACTTACCATATGTGCACAAGTGCGTCCGCTTTGAAACGATGTAAGTATAACACATGGTATGCGACATATAATGACAGTGATGACATGCATGGGCACTGTCACATGACACTACAGCGTAACAATTTTGAAATGCATATTTTATTACATAATCAAATAAAGAAACTGAAGGGATAAAGGTCAGCAGGCGAGCCGATAAAATTGCAGATAAACATTCACAAACAAGCGTAAATACCATCCGACCAGCAT